ACTGGGATGAACTGGGAGGGACTGGAACCAACTGGAACCAACTGGGTTAAACTGGGAGTTACTGGGGTGAACTGGGACAAACTGGGACAAACTGGGACAAACTGGGGTGAACTGGGATGAACTGGGGTGAACTGGGACAAACTGGGACAAACTGGGATGAACTGGGACAAACTGGGATGAACTAGAACCAACTGGGTTAAACTGGGAGTTACTGGGAGTGACTGGGACAAACTGGAACCAACTGGGAATGAACTGGGACAAACTGGGGTGAACTGGAACCAACTGGGTTAAACTGGGAGTTACTGGGAGTGACTGGAACCAACTGGAACCAACTGGGAATGAACTGGGACAAACTGGGATGAACTAGAACCAACTGGGTTAAACTGGGAGTTACTGGGAGTGACTGGAACCAACTGGGAATGAACTGGGACAAACTGGAATGAACTGGAACCAACTGGGTTAAACTGGGAGTTACTGGGAGGGACTGGGAACAAACTGGGAGTTACTGGGACAAACGGGGACAAACTGGGATGAACTGGGATGAACTGGGAGGGACTGGGATGAACTGGGAACCACTGGGACAAACTGTGATGAACTGGGACAAACTGGGATGAACTGGGAGCGACTGGGACAAACTGGGGTGAACTGGGACAAACTGGGACAAACTGGGAGCAACTGGGATGAACTGGGACAAACTAGGACAAACTGGGACGAACTGGGAATGAACTGGGTTAAATTGGGAGGGACTGGGATGGACTGGGAGCAACTGGAACCAACTGGGTTAAACTGGAACCAACTGGGAATGAACTGGGACAAACTGGGATGAACTGGGAAAAACTGGGGTGAACTGGGACAAACTGGGACAAACTGGGATGAACTGGAACCAACTGGGACAAACTGGGAATGAACTAGGTTAAACTGGGAGGTACTGGGAGGGACTGGGACAAACTGGGACAAACTGGAATGAACTGGAACCAACTGGAACCAACTGGGCCAAACTGGGACGCACTGGGAGGCCGATTCTGAGTTAAAAATCCCGATTTTTGGTGTTACCTCGACGAAGTTGGTGTGCTTGGCGTCCCGGACGGTGACCACGGCGTGAACCTCCTCGATCAGCTTCTGCTTCTCGTCATCGTCGAACTGCATGTACCACTTGGCCAGGCGCGTCTTGCCCGCCCGGTTCTGGATCAGGATGAAGCGAATCTGCNCAGGTAGGCCAGGTTGTTGTCGGTGACGTCGACGCAGATGCAGAAATAGAGGCCGGCGTAGCGACGGTAAATGATCTTGAAATTGCGGAACTGGGAACACTGGGAGTTACTGGGAGGGACTGGGAGGGACTGGGATGGACTGGGATGGACTGGGAGGGGACTGGGATGGACTGGGAGCAACTGGGAACCAGTGGGGTTAACTGGGAGGGAACTGGGATGAACTGGGAGGGACTGGGAAGGACTGGAGTTTGACGTAACATCAATAAATGATCTTGAAATTGTGGAACTGGGGGGAACTGGGAGTTACTGGGAGGGACTGGGACAAACTGGGATGAACTGGGATGAACTGGGAGGGACTGGGACAAACTAGGATGAACTGGGATGGACTGGGAGGGACTGGGATGGACTGGGAGGGACTGGGAGGGACTGGGATGAACTGGGAGTTACTGGGATGAACTGGGATGGACTGGGATGGACTGGGATGGACTGGAAGGGACTGGGATGAACTGGGACAAACTGGGACGAACTGGGATGGACTGGGAGAAACTGGGATGGACTGGGATGAACTGGGAATGAAGTGGAACCAACTGGGAACCACTGGGAACCACTGGGAGCAACTGGGATGGACTGGGATGGATTGGAACCAACTGAGAATGAACTGGGAGCGACTGGGAGGGACTGGGATGGACTGGGACAAACTAGGACAAACTGGGACGAACTGGAACCAACTGGGAATGAACTGGGACAAACTGGGATGAACTGGGAAAAACTGGGGTGAACTGGGAGCAACTGGGACAAACTGGAACCAACTGGAACCAACTGGGTTAACCTGGGAGTTACTGGGAGGGACTGGAACCAACTGGAACCAACTGGAACCAACTGGGACAAACTGGGATGAACTGGGAACAAACTGGGACAAACTGGGGTGAACTGGGATGGACTGGGATGAACTGGAGTTTGACGTAACGTCAATAAATTATCTTCAAATGGTGGAACTGAGATGAACTGGGATGAACTGGGAGTTACTGGGAGGGACTGGAACCAACTGGAACCAACTGGGAATGAACTGGGATGAACTGGGACAAACTGGGATGGACTGGAGTTTGATGTAACATCAATAAATGATCTTGAAATTGTGGAACTGGGAAGACTGGGAGTTACTGGGAGGGACTGGGAGCGACTGGGAGCCACTGGGAGCAACTGGGATGAACTGGGAGTGACTGGGACAAACTGGGCTGAACTGGGGTGAACTGGGACAAACTGGGATGAACTGGGAGGGGACTGGGAGGGACTGGGATGGACTGGGAGCAACTCGGAGGGACTGGGAACCACTGGGAGCAACTGGGATGAACTGGGATGGACTGGGATGAACTGGGATGAACTGGGGTGAACTGGGGTGAACTGGGAGCAACTGGGACAAACTAGGATGAACTGGGATGAACTGGGATGGACTGGAGTTTGATGTAATGTCAGCAAATATTCTTGAAATGGTGGAACTGGGATGGACTGGGACAAACTGGGGTGAACTGGGACGAACTGGGATGGACTGGGAGGAACTGGGAATGGACTAGGACAAACTGGGACGAACTGGGATGGACTGGGAGGGGACTGGGATGGACTGGGAGCAACTGGGATGAACTGGGGTGAACTGGGAGGAACTGGGATGAACTGGGATGGACTGGGACCGAACTGGGATGAACTGGGATGGACTGGAGTTTGATGCAACGCCAGCAAATATTCTTGAAATAGCGGAACTGGGATGGACTGGGATGAACTGGAAGGGACTGGGATGGACTGGGACAAACTGGGANACTGGGAGGCCGATTCTGAGTTAAAAATCCCGATTTTTGGTGTTACCTCGACGAAGTTGGTGTGCTTGGCGTCCCGGACGGTGACCACGGCGTGAACCTCCTCGATCAGCTTCTGCTTCTCGTCATCGTCGAACTGCATGTACCACTTGGCCAGGCGCGTCTTGCCCGCCCGGTTCTGGATCAGGATGAAGCGAATCTGCCCCAAAACCCCAGAAAAAAATTCAGTTTATAAAGGGTTAAAGTTTGGGGGAAATCGGGGAAATTGTTCCCCCGAAATTCGATTTTTTTCGGAATTAAAATTCCAATTTTCGTCGTCAAAATTCGATTTCTTTCATTATTTTTGCAGCAGAATTAAAAAAAAAAATTCAATTTATAAAGGGTTAAAGTTTGGGGGAATTCGGGAAAATTATTTCCCCAAAACTTGATTTTTTTTTGTAATTAAATTCCCATTTTTTATCATTAAAATTCGAATTTTTTCGTTAATTTTGCATCTGAAATTGCAGAAAAAAATCAGTTTATAAAGGGTTAAAGTTTGGGGGAAATCGGGGAAAGTGTTCTCCCAAAATTTGAATTTATTCGGAATTAAAATTCCAATTTTTTGTTGTCAAAATTCGAATTTTTTCATTATTTTTGCAGCAGAATTTTCAGAAAAAAATCAGTTTATAAAGGGTTAAAGTTTGGGGGAAATCGGGGAAATTATTCCCCAAAATTAGATTTTTTTTTTGCATCGAAAATCAAATTTTTCGTCATTAAAATTCCAAATTTTGCATTAATTCTGCCCCAAAATTCCCAGAAAAAATTCAGTTTATAAAGGGTTAAAGTTTGGATGAAATCACGGAAATTGTTCCCCCAAAATTTGATTTTTTTTTGTAATTAAATTTCCATTTTTTGTCACTAAAATTCGAATTTTTTTGTTATTTTTGCACCAGAAATTCCATTAGAAATTCAGTTTATAAAGGGTTAAAGTTTGGAGAAAATCGGGGAAATTGTTTCCCCAAAATTCGATTTTTTTTGTAATTAAATTCCCATTTTTTGTCATTAAAATTTGAATTTTTTCATTAATTTTGTGCCAGAAATTGCAGAAAAAATTCAATTTGTAAAGGGTTAAAATTTGGAGGTAATCGGGGAAATTATTCCCCAAAATTTGATTTTTTTTTTGTAATTAAATTCCAATTTTTCGTCATTAAAATT